CCGGGGCCCGCCCGGGGCCCCCTCTGCCGATCGGGGCGGTCCCGGGGATCTCCCTCCTCCCTTCCAGCTCTCGTCCTTGCAGACTCGGCGGCGCATCCCGTACCAGGAGGCTGCTGTGCAGGAATTCAGGCCAACTCAAGTGGGAGAGTCTTTCGGGCCTCCGTGAGTAGCAGGTTTCGGCGGTGCTGTGCCCCTGGTAGGGTTGGAGCTCGAGTCTCAGAGTTATTTGTGTGGATGTTCAAGCTCTCCCTGGTGAAGACGTGAGATGATGGTCTTGTTCCGTGATGGGTGCTTGGAGGTGCCTGCAACAGAAACCCTAAGGGAGTTCATGAGGGAACAAAGTTTCTTTCTCGTTTCTTGCTGAGAGCTATTTGGGACCACAGTCGCGTCTCTGCTGCTTCTGGGGAGGGTGCGTTTGCTTGTCAAGATTGGGAGAAGATTCTTACCCACCCTGAATGCTCCCTGGGTGAGGAGAAGGCAGAAGCCTTTCATCGCTATCCCTCAGCCTAAGCAATCCTGCACCCTCATCTCCATGTCCTGATTTGCCTCCAGATCGCCCCAAAATGTCATTATCATCAGGAGGGAAGGAAGAATCTGTACACGATGCTCAGCCCTGATGTTTTAATGGAAATACTGCGCTACAGTCAAGTTTACAACATCGGTATAGAAATCACATGGGTTGTGGGCCAAGGATCACGGTACAGAATACAAAAAGCGAGATCAAATAAAAAGAAAAATAGAGAAAAAGCAAATCTCTGCTATTGTACAGGCTGGGAGCAGAGCTGGGATGTCAGCTGGAGCACCAGAGGTCTCCCCACGGTTGGGGCCCCCCAACCAGCCTCCCTTGGCTCAATGACATGCAGGCACAGGCTCCTGGGATAGGAACCCCACCAAGCAGCAGCAGCTGGTACTTCCAAGCTGGCCAGAAGTCTAAATCACCAAAGATTTTCCCTTCCACATCACCAGAATAAAAAAAGGGGGGGGGGAAATAATAGGGGAATGTGCACGACACCTTTGGAATGGAAGAGGACAAATGAGAGCCCCTTCTTGCCTGGCTACAGCAAAGGTGAAACAGATGAGTGATTTATTGCTAGCAGTGTGAAAATCCCCTGCTGGGCTCTTCCATCTCTCCCTCTCTCCATAGGAGGCTCCGTTCCAGACCTGCCTGCTGTGCACTGGCTGCCAATGACTCGTGGCCCCTCGGGGCTGACTTCCAGCCCCGCTCCAGCTCCATCCTCCAGCCCTGCTCCCCACAGAAGAGAAGGGGCTGTGGTGGCAGGAGAGAACCTGGAACTAGATGATATTTAAGGTTCCTTCCAACCCAGGCCGTTTTATGATTCTGTGAACCTGCTGTCTCAAAATACAGTAAGTCCCTGGGAGAGGCTGAAGCCGTGGCAAAGCCCTGCTCGTGGCTCCCCATCCAGGGACGATGGAAGCCCAGCCAGGTGTGTCCGTGGAGTTTTGCAAGGAAAGCCACCTCCTTTTGAGAAGACACAGTGGCTGGCGTGGTTACAGAGTCTGTGCTGACTTCTTTACTTTTAAAATCAAAATCTTTCCCCGTGTTTTAAATATCTGCCAGCGTTACATTTCTCTACTTAAAAAAATATATATCCCATATGTGGATTTCTGGAGAGAAACGCATTGAAACCCCCCCCCCAGTCCCTCCTCCTTCTCTTGCACACACGCACACACGCAGAACAGCTCTGTCAAATACTGGCTTGGTATTTCCCACGATGTTTCCTCCAACAAAGAAAGGGAAAATACATCAGCACAATCAGCCCCAGCTAAGTTGCTCAGCAACACTTCTGAAAAGCGAAGATCCTTGGAGCTGGAAGACAAGGTGGATAAAAATTACCCACCAGGAAAAAAAGCCCAAAATTTTAAAAAATTAGAATTATATACTCTGTATTTATATCTCTTTCAGGCTACTTATACCTCAGTTGTTAAACCCCCAAACGCACACGCTGCCTCTGCTGTTTCCTCTTGCCAGCCTTAGAAAAGGGGTTGGATTTCACCTCCCTTTTCCCTCCCCTTTCCCAGCCCAAAACCTGCATGCTGCAACAGCGCCTTTCAGACCAGGAACACGGCTGTGGGTGAGCGAGCGTCTTCCTCCAGGTTAAGAACAAAGACATTATTTTTTTTATTTACAAAAAAAGGAGAAAAAAGTTTCCACACAAAAGCACTACAATGATAACTCCCTTTGGTAAAAAGTGTAATAAATGTCTCCATCGGTCTGTCTGTCGGTACTAATTCTCAAGCCACCTGGTACTATGGTACACAAGAAGCTAGTACAGTTATGCTAGCACATCAAGCATAATTCCTTTAATTAAAAAAAAAAAAAACCAAAACAAAAAGAAAAAAAAAAGAAAAAAATGGACAATTTGTACATTTATTTACAAAAAAGGAGGGGAACATGTTAAAATCGTGTTGTTCTCTGCTGTGTGTGAACGTACATGTGTGTGAAAAGCTGGTGCATGGCACTAGGAGAGACTAGTAAACAAGCAGGTACAAAAAAACAAAAACAAAAACCCAAAATAAAAATAAAACAGTTCCACTGGCACTAGAAAGGACAGACCGATCTGCACAGGGTGAGTCCAGCCTGGGAGGGAGGGGAGGGAGCGAGAGGAAGCCGGGGTCTGCTGCCCCACGGCCCCACACCGGAGCCCGCAAGGAGAGGAGAATCCAATGGTGACAGGCACCTGGGGATTTTGGGGACACATCCAAGCGGTCCGGTGGTGGAGAGCATCCTGTTCCCCTCCCTCGCCGCTCAGGGCCTCTGGGGAGTCAAAGCCTCAACGCTGCTGGTGTGTACGAGCTCGTGGTGTTTCTCTGGGATGGCTCAGTTCAGAGAAGGGTCCTTCCTGCCCAAAGAGGGCCGGCAGCCCACGGCCCCGGGCGGAGATCCGCGTCCCCGCAGGGAATCCCGCCGGGACAGGTTGTACCGGCCACGCACTAGTCAAGTGGCCACGTTACGGAGATACACAGTGAGGGGAGAAAGGCATCTCCCTCCTTCCCTGGATGCACGCACACACACACATCTCCCGGGCTCTGCCCTCGCCCCGGGGGACTCCTAGGGTGTCTTGAATATCGTGCCGTATTTGACGCGGTACTTGTTGATGCTGACAAAGTGCAGGGTCTCTGTGTCACAGGTGGTGGTGCAGGGCACCAAGCCCTCCAGCCCTTCACCCATCAGCCACTTGTTTGTCTCGGCTGCCATTTCGCGGGGCACGTGCTCCTTGGTCCATTTGTCCACCCAGGCCTGGAAGCGCTGGTGCAGCCGCTTGCTCACCCTTTCATGGGACTGCAGAAACAGGGAGAGGTGTTAGGAAAAGGCAGCTTTGGCCCCCAAACTGCAGCACAACACAAAGCTTGGCTACTCACTGACTCAGGCAAGGGGATCGAACACAGAGGGAATTCGTAACGCGGACACTGGACTAATGACAGAGGGAAAAGCTCTGATGGAGGTCCCCCAGGTCTCCTCTCCGAGAAAATTTGTGGCAATATGAGAGCAGAAATACAAAAAAGTTGATGCTCTTTGTTTAACACAGCAGTTCCCGGGCTGGGGACACAGAACATATCCAGTGGGAGCCTTAAAGTTGCATGCCCAGCTCAGAGTGAGTCCTTTCTACATTGCCCAAAAGATGCTGCTGCCTCCTCTGCCAGCACCCAGAATCAGGCAAGTCCTGCCCTTCCCAGCCCTCAGGGTTGGGAAGTCTCAAGTTTCAGTCTCCAGCCCCCAGAGAGGGGCACAGTCCCAGGAAAGAGCAAGTTCAACACGTGCCACACATACTGGGGACACAATTGCTACAGAAAATTAAGACCCAAGCAAGGCCAGGTCTAACGGGCTCAGGAAGCTCTGATTTAACAGAAACATCAGGAGAGGAAGAACTGTGCACTTTTTTGAATAAGAGCATCTGCCTAAGGAATGTAAAATCCAGGACAGATGGTACAAAGCCATGGCTACAGTCATAATTGAAAACAGCCAATATACTTAAATCTCCAGATTAAAACTTACAGATTTTATTATTTGTTTGTTCTTCTCCTAGAGAAGAGACTGACTGCTTTGGGGTGTTAACTGCTAAATCCAATAGATTAGTTTCCAAAATCCAATGTAGCTTCTACAGCTCCCTCAGTGTATTCCAGTAACCAAGGGCTAAGCTGCACGCTACATATTTAACACTTCAAGAATTTATGTTCAGATTCTCTGTGAAAAGCACTGGCACACAGTATCCTGCTTATAAGCTTATATTTCCTTGAGGTTTCTGCCAGTTGAATGAGATAGACGGAATTCAATCAAAATCCCCAGTATCAGCATTTCAGAGAGTCACTAGGCTACAATAAAATACTTTTCAAATACTTTTCATCTGATGTGGATGCAAAGTTTAAGAGAGTTACTTTACAACTAATGAAGTAAAGCCACTAGCTGTCAGCAAGAAACATGGTAAGTAGTTGTCTTATAAATCTAAATACATGGTAAAAGTGGATGGAAGTATTCCCACAAGGTGAGAAAAAGAGCATGTCAAAGCATCCAGATGAACAAACCAGTTTCCTCCTAAATTTCACACATCTGGAGTCACAAGCTCTTTTCATCTTGGTTATACCCAAACCTTTACAGCTTCCCAAACAGCTGGAGAGGCAAAGCCTCCTTCCTTCCCGTGGGTCCCAGGAAACACCAGCAGCCCATCCTGTTCTCTGGCTGGCTCCTACCTGCTGAGCTCGCAGCAGCGCGGTCCTCCTGTACATGTAATCCTCCGACTTGATCACGTACACCATCTTATATGAGTTCAGCTTGAATTTACACTCCAGCTTGTCCAGGCTCTCCACGTTCTCCATGGACTTCTTACTGTTTCCCTCCTTCCCTTCCTTCTCCTGCTGCTCCCGACCACGCTGACACTTGCGGATCCGCCTCAGGTTCCTGCAAGCCAGGCGGAATTGGAATTAGCTCTTGGAACTAGCGCCCGCCCCCTGGCACTGCAAACCTGGCTGGGGCTGGTGGAGCCCCCATCCAGGCTGGACAGGGCTTGGAACAGCCTGCTCTAGTGGGAGGTGGCACATGGCAGGGGGTGGAATGAGATGAGCTCTAAGGGCCTTTCCCAGCACAGCCTGGCCGCTCACCTGGGCAGGAAGACGGGTTTCTGGGCCAGGTGCTCCCGGAGCTCGGGGGAGGTAGAATCAGAGTTGACGTACCGCTCCACGTAGTCAGACCAGCGCTGGAAGCAAGCACAGAGCACACATCAGCTACCACCCTCCCACCAAACAACGTGCCAGGGCTGAGGAGGCTAAGCTGGAGGTCACACAGAAGAGCACAACATCCCTTCTGAAGGCTCTGCGCATCTTATGCCCAAAAAGGCAGATACAGAGTTTCTTTATGCGGTTTTGAGTATTTTCTAATACAAAATAAACCAACAAGGATTTGTCTGCTCACATCACTGGAAGCTTTATGGAATGTCCTTGATGTTCCTTTGTCTTGTGCTAACAGACCACACCACCAGTCAGCCAGACACTCTGATCCAGAGCAACCTTGACCATCACAGTCAGCTTTCTGGAGAAGCTGCCCTTACCTCTGCTTCCACAGGGTCATCTGAGTTTTCCTCTTCTGTGTCCAGCAGCTCAATGGTTAACTGAACTTGACCTCTGCTCTGAATGAACATCAGCTATAAAGAAAAAGCAGAAGGAACTTCAGTAACAGGAGGTTTGAAATAGAAACAAACACCTTCACTTCTCAGTGGGGCAAAGCAAAGTTGGCCATTTTATAAGAAATCTTCTCGAGCCCCCAAAGTAAGTGTGAAGGCACAGGAAAAGATACTACACACTCAGGCTTTTATCCAAAGTACTTCTCTGGCTCAGAAAGGGCCTGACCACTTCCTGCCTCTTCAGCAAAGGAAGTATGGATTTGATTAGCAAAGGTTTATTAGCAATGTATGCAGGCAGCAGTGATTTAATGCCCAGTCAGTAGTGGCAGATCTCCCAACAGTCAACAAAACTGAGACACCAAAGAAACAGAAGAGTTTGAGCTATCAAATTAAAAGCAGTGGCAGCCAAGCAGTCAGTATGATACAGCCCAAAGCTGCTGTAAAGCACAGGGGGTAGTCACTGCTGTTCCAGGAAATACATTCCACCTCGAAACTTCACTTCTGAGGGGCCCTTACAGAAGTTTTAACCTGTGTTCCAAAAGCTGGCAGCGTGTGTGCTGGTTTTGGCTGGAATGGAGTTCATTTTCTTCATTTTTGGGTGCCTGATCAAGGCTCTTTTTTAAAGGACTGGTGCCTCTCCCTCCTGAAAAGGCACCCCCTGAGCTGGTTCCGTGCTGTGGTTCAGAGCTTTACCTTGAAGCAGTTCTCCTCAGACATGAGCTGCTCGGCTTTGCGCTGGTACGTGGCCTCCAGGAGCGTGCGGGAAGACTGGGATGCCAGGAGCCCCCCGGTGGCTCCGTTGCTGTTCTCTGACAGGTACAGGTCTGTCACCTGCACACAGATCTCATCGCTCACGATGTGCTGCAGCTGCAAACAGGAGCAATGGGGGGAAGGGGTTTGTCAGGGAGCCTGCTACACCCCCATCAAAACAGAACTAAATAACAATGGGGTTGGGCTCAAGCAAAAAAAACCCCTTAGTTTCCTCCACTTGCAGATGGTCTCTGCTACTACGTGAAAAACCCACAATATCTTTAGAAAAATTAGCAGGTGGCAAAGCACAGCTACTCAGAGAAAAACTACACACAAAGAACATTCTGATCAGCAGCAGGGGAGGAAGGGCCAGAGCTCCATGACACAGTGTGTCCTCTCCTCACCAAGGGGCTGCTGCTGTGTCTGAGCAGAGGGGTGGGAGGTTTAAGATCAAATCTGCATTTTGTGTAAGTATAAAAATCAAAAGTCTCCCAACTGTCTTCTGAATTCAGTTAATCTCTGGACTGAAGGGCTTCTGAAGAGCAGCTCTACCCTTCCTCTACCCTTCTGAAAGAAAGCCCTTTGAAGTTATTCCACTTCCAGCCCCTTGTGTCTGTTTTTTGCTCTTTATGCTACAAAAAGGCACAAGAAATTTTCCTTTGCTCACACATTCTTCCTACCAACCCAATGAAAGGACTGGAGTTTAACAGCCAAAATGAGCTACTCCAGCAGCCAGATAAAAGAGACAAAAGGCTTTTAGAAAAAGTGTGCACTCCTACAGCACTGAGAGAAAGGAAAGGAACTATTTAGATATCATTTCCTTTTTTTTTTTTCAAAGCTAAAGCAAGATTAGCTCTGGACATGCTTTGAATACTTATATCCTACAACATCTGGAAAACAAGGAAAACTCTGTAGAGGATACTCTCAATAATTCAAACAGATCAGAAATCACCTTCTATCATTTCTCCACTGACTGGAGAGCTGGGTGAGGAAACACCCTGAATTTACCTGCTTACCCCTGCAATTCCCCAGGCAGGCAATACAACCTGGCCTCCAGCGCCAGCCTGGGCTCTCACTGCAGCAAACCTCCTGTCTGCCTGGTCTGCCCCCTGCCCCACCCAGTGCCCAGCCCTCAGTGGCAGCACCTGTCGGACGATGCTCTGGATCAGCTTGTCCATGGTGAAGGCGATGTAGGCGTGGATGGTGAACATCTCGCGCAGGGAATCCTCGTACTGCGACGAGTCCATGTTCCCGTCCAGGAGGTTGCGCACCATGTCCAGGAAGGCCGGGTAATAATCCTCAACATCGATGTCCACTGCAACCAGAGACAAGGGGAGACATGGGCACACCACCCCTCAGAAGGGCTGCTTGGAGCTCTGGCCCACTTAAGCTGAAGAGTTATTTATGTCCATAAAAGATAAGTTTAAGTAAGTCCTTTTAAGGCCACGGGTATTTTCATAATCTCTTGCTTTCTAGCTCTGGCCTCCACCATGAGCTTTTTATTTCTGAAAGCTTTTACTTTAGGATATTTAAGTATAAAATGAAAGCTCTGATGAAGTAACTGCTGCGTATCCTTCTGCTATTCCAAGTCCCGTGTTCTCCACATCTTCCCATCTCCCCAGGGACCCCATCTTAACGGGTCACTGCTGTCACGTGCCTGAAGACACCAAACCACCTGCCACCACACTACAAACAGAAGCACCTCTTCCCCTCCAGCCTCCCACCACAAGTCACTCACTGGGCTCCTTCAGTCGCAGCTGGATGGCAGGACTGTCACTCTTGTCTCTCTTTATGCCCAGCACTTCCCTCTCCCACTCCCGCTCCCGCGTCTCCTCCTCGATCTGCCGCTCGGCCTGGGTGCAGATCCGCAGCAGCCTCAAGCACAGGATCTGGTGCAGCCTCATGAAGATGTACCAGTTGCTGTTCACATAGAAGAGGTTGTAGACCTCATCCATGCCCCGCAGCTTCTGGGCTGTCGTGTTGTTGAACATCAGCTTGGTTTTGGGAGGACTACCCCCAACACCGTTGTGCTTTTTTGCAGCCCCAGTAGTTTCATCCACATCCATTTCCTCTTCTTCTTCCTCTTCCACGTCCGAGAGTTCACCTCGCTGAGCAAACAGCAGGTCTGGAATGAAGTGATACATGATCTGCTTGATTTTGTACTTGTCCTCTTTCTGGATTCCCGTCTGCCGCTTCACGTGGTGGATGATGAGAGAGGCAGCATCTTCCAGGATCTGTTTGTCTTCATAGGCTAGCGAGAGGTGTGGGCCTGTGGGGACTCCAGCATTGTCTTCCGAAGCCTGTTCTTGCCTCTACAAAGGAGAAACAGCAAAAAAATCAGCCTAAACAATCCCACTCCACCACCCAAGAGCCTGCTTGAACGCTCTGCCGGTGGAACAGATTTCCTCCCTCATCAAGCTGTGAGGAACAGGAACTGAAACTGCACTAGCAAAGTACATAAGCTTGAGGGAAGGAAACTGTTGGTGACCATCTCACCTCATCATAGATGCTTTCAATCTCATTGAGGAGACTCTTTGACCTTAGGACCTTGGTATCATTCTGCTTGAAGTTGATGCCCTGGTGGTCCAAGGATTTCAGGTAATACTTCTCATTCTGCTCTCGCCAGACTTTATTAAATCCTCTCTGGGCTTCTCGCCACTCTTCCTCTTTCATCTTTAACCTTGGATCAAGAAAACAAAAGTGAGTTAAGAGGTGAACGTACAAAAAAACCTCAGCCCGTGGTTCTTGGTGAGTGCTGACAAGAGCTGAACTCCCAATTAAATGGGCATGGATTAAAGACAAGGCACAGAAAGGAGCTTTCCAGGAGGTGCCCCCTGGACACACTCTTCTGGAGAAACCACTCTGGGTTTCTTTCACATTTAGGTAAAGCCACACAGGAACAAAGCAGCCCCAGGAGAGGGAATAAAGGGATAGAGAAAGCAAAAAAGCTGGCCCTGGTTTCTCAAAAATCCTAAGAAAGCTCCACCTGTGGAACAGGGACAGCTCAGCTCAGTTTGGACAATAAACAAAGCATGGACACCTGAGTATGCTGGGAACACACTCCTGAGCCTTGACTCAGCATCCCAAGCAGAGCACCCCCGATTCAGTCTAAGGGCAGGGACACTGGGACCTTGTGGGTATCCTGGGAAGGCTGCTACGCCCAGCTCCAGAACTCCAAAACACAGGAGCAAGAGTCCCACAGAGATAAAACAGCATGTACTGCTTACACATCTCCTCAACCTCCCCCAGGGAGATGCAGCATCCACTCCTTTTCAACTGAGGAAGGGGAGGCTGACAACAAAACCAGGACTGGGAATCAGGATAGCAGAGACATCATGATCTGGGCACATACACCCATAGGATTTGAAAAGCCTGGGACAGCAGTTCCCTTATCTTACACACAGTGCTGAAGAATAAAGTTTAAGAGACCACAACAAAAGCTCTAAATCCTTCTAGCTGAGCTGTAAGGATTTTGTTTCAGGAGGACAATTCCCTCTAGGTGATTATTAAACCAACTGTCCAGAATATAAATGAACTTCTTAGTTTCACAGAATAATGGAAACATGGAATGGTTTGTTTTGGAAGGGACCTTACAGATCATCTTGTTCCATCCCCTGCCATGGGCAGGGACACTTTCCACTGGACCATGTTGCTCCAGGCCTTGCCAACCTGGCCTTGAACACTTCCAGAGGCAGGGCAGCCACAACTTTCTGGGGCAAATTTATAGCTCTGTGGAGGGCACACTCCTTAGGGGCAGAAATCAGCCACTTTTCCATAGATTTGGATGGCACACAGTGCATTGCCCTTTGGATGGGAGCCTGGGGCAATCAGTACCTTTTGAGCACGATGGGAACAGCCACAGAGGGGTTCTTGCGAAGCCCATCGATGATGTCAGCTGCCTTGTCAGCATATATCCTCTGGAGAGCCTTGCGGTGGATCACCTCCGAGGTGCCCCCCAGGGTGTTGTCCAGCCGGAATTTGGCCTGCTCCTCCGCAGACAAGCGTGACAGCTTCTTCTGGATCGCCTCGAGAACGCGGATCGTTGCCAGGTTGGTCTCCAAGACAACATCCAGCTGGAGAGAACAGTGCATTAGCTGGAGCATTTGAATAGACAAAACATGATACTTCACCGAGGCAAACGTTCAAGCGACACGAAACAAGGAGCTGCGCCTGTTTAACAAGGTGTACTCAAGCACTTTGGTGTTCAGCTGCTCTAAAATAATCCAATTATATTTCATCTGCTACCTAAATAATACTGTGGAAGAATTTAAAGGCTACCAGAATGATACTGTTCAGAAATTACATCTTCCAGCTGGGAATAGAACACAATTGACAGTTACTCTACAAAAGGACATGCCAAATCTGTGCAGATTCAGGTAATTGCCCAGCTAACTTCCATTTCCAGTCAAAATGTCAGTCATTTAAAACCCTGCACACATTGCTTTGCAGATGATTACAGGGGAATGCATGTTCTCATGCACTACGTGGGCAGGAAGAACAGAAAAGATGCAACGATTCCATGCTGGCTATTCAACAATTTCATGTGGAGCAGGGTGAATGAAGAGCTCCCCATAAAAGGTGAGGGGCAGGGGTGGCCACTTAGTGGTTATGCAGCCACTGCTTCTTGCATAAAGAGAAAACAAGCTTTTATGCCAAAAACCAGGTGGCAGACACAATAAAAGATGCAAAATTAAAGGTATTATTAACATCAGGCTCATTAACTGTTCACAGAACAGAGCTTTCCGAGACATGAACCAAGGAAAAGCAATTTACCTCAAAACGCTCGTCCTCACACCTGTAGATGTGCTCTTCATATTGTGTCTTCTTGGAGCTCACAAATGTGGAATCTTCAGACCAGGATGGGAAGGAGACCCAGGTATCATTCAAAACCTTTGAGGGAGGCAGAGGGAGAAGAAGAGTTGTGGTCAGTGTTCAAGGAGATCACACCTGGCCAGCTTCAAGACCAGTCTTCTGATGGCACAATCTAATTCCCAGTTAGAAAATCCCCTTCCAAAGCCCAGCATTGATAGGGCAACCCCAAAGAGTCAGAACCCAAACAGCCAGGCAGCTGAAAAATTCATGGGATGGAGCTGTGAGGAAAAAACTTGCAAGAGAAGAGGAAAATAAAGATGAAAGGAGCTTTTCTGCTACTGACAACCAGCTGGTTCCCCATGTGTGATTCACCATCAGCACTGTGTGGTCACCACAGCAGACCTAACTGTTAGACAGGACACAGTTGCTGCCTCCAAATAAGGCTAATTGGAAGTATAAAACCATACCCCAGCATCACCTTTCCTGACAAATCAGCTCAGCACCTGCAGCTTTCAATACAGGAACAGAACATTAAAAAGCAAACAAACAAACCAACAACCCCAAAGAGGCTGAAGGCAAAGAAACAAGGATTTTGGCAGACAGTCTTGAAAGCCGGGTCCAGCTCTCATAAACCCCAAAGCCTGAACAACAGAGTCATTAGATTCTCACAGGGGGAGAAGTTTGTAACTACATCACACAAGAAGCTTTTGAGAGACGTGTCAAGGATTAAAAATTCAGCATTTCATGGAGAAAGATGCATCTGAGTGAATACGTGGGAGAATCTGTCTACAGATTCATGATTTGCTTTTAAAGCTGGCCTCGAAACAACTCTGAAAGCAGGTTAAGTGGGAATTTGGGTAAAAAGGTAGCAATAACCCTGAATTACATACTACCTTGTAAAGGACCTCTGAGATCACATTAAGACTACACAGAAAACCAGGTCTGTCATCTCTTACTTAAGTTTGCAATCTTAATGCTCCTTTCACAAGGTTGTACTACGTGACACATCATAAATAAAATGTAGGAGCGTTAGGTATGTCAGTAATTAACCATCATAACTATTCAGCAGGCTTTTCTCCAGCTGCCCCCCCCTCTCTCTATGCAAACCGTTCACAAAGGCTGCTGGAGAAGAGATGATGCCAACCATCAAAGCCACGTGGGTACCACAACTCCCAGCCAGCTTCCAGCATAACCCAATTCCTAGACTGACGCCTCACCCTGTGCAACAGCTCCTGGATGTGATCCAGATGTTTAGGGGAGTGCCACTAGGAATTCCTTAGGTGTGCTCCCCTCGGGCTGCCACACGCACCGCGGCCATCCTGAGCCAGGAGGGAGTGCCCACACACGCCCGGGTGCAGGAGCAGCACAGATCAGCGTGGATCAGTGCTGAGCTGGCAGCTGCCCGTGCTCACCATCACCAGACGTGCCCCGACATCCCCAGGAACCTTTCCAACACAGTGATACCAACTAAACTCTCCATCTTGCTCCATTTTGCTTGATTTTGTTCCGATGCTTTAAGAAGGCTGGGGAGAGCCTTCCTCTGTGGCACAGCTCCTGTCTTACCTCTTTACACAGCGGAGTCCGCCCTGTGCACTTGGGTTGCTGGTAGCTCTTGGGCAAGGCTCGGTAGCTGGAGCCCAGCCTCTTGCAGGAGGCATAGTCAATCTCCATGGCAATCCCCTCAGTAGCCCGTTCCTTCGGATACGTCTCCATGTGAACAGACTCCTTATATCCCAGAAAGTTTTTAAACCAAGTGAAAAGTTCTGGGAATTTCCTAAAATAAAAGGAACGAAGTGAAAAACGAGCTAAGCAGAACGCAAACAGCGCTGAGCTGCGATGCTGAGGCTAGAACTCATCGTTACAGACAACCCTCTGAATTATCTGTCTGGTGAGAAGACCCTCTCTGCTCAACCCCACTTCCACAGAACCTGACCAAATGGGAAGCAAGCACCTGTTGTTGATCAGGTGGGGAACTGCTCTCTCAGTGCAACTGAGGTGCTTTAGGATTAGTAATGAGCAGCTGTCAAAGCTTTCCCTACAGGAACAGCATTCATGGCACAGTCACACCTGTCTCCCCAGACTACCCTGGTAGTAAACTCAGGCCAGATTCCTTGTTGTTTGCCAATGGATTGAACCTTAAAGCAGACCTTTGCTTTCCAGAGGCAGCAAGAAGAAACCAAAATGCAATTCTGTACCTAGACAGCAAAAGGTTTCAGTGCCAAGCAATTGCTTCAACCAGGCTTCACAGAGAAGTCTAAAACACAGAGAAGCCTTTGCCTGTGAGGCCCAAGTTTGCCTGTTTGCAAAGTTTCCTGAAAAATTTATTCATCTAAAATACAGTATTTGTTCAAGACCTCTTATCTCATGCAAAGCACTAACAATAGGATAAACTGAACCTGTTACTAATTGAATCCTAGTTATTCATTGCTTGTTCATTATATGGCAAGAGGTAATGTCCAACTCCAGGATAAGAAAGATCTGTATTATAGCTTTCCCCATAGTTAGAAGCACAGACAGTAGATGGGAAAAGTGCAGAATTTTCTTGTCAAATATTGCACCTTTTCTACATAAAGTCAGGCATCCTGCTGATGCCTGACTAATTCTAGTGGACCTGCAGAGCGAGTGGAAGCTCCTGAGGGCAGTTTCTCTGCACAGTAGCTACTGTAATGGGGTCCTGAACCCAATTTATGTTGCTACTGCCTTCTCCCTTAGAACCAGCAATTCAGTGCCCAGGCAAAACCAATCCTGCTGCCCCAAGCAGATGAGACGATATCTGTCAGTTTTAACCAATTCATGGAGCTGTTCTGTACACTACTGACAATCATGGAAGTTGTAAATTCCTATTTAAAGTACAGAGCCCCTTAACATTTTTGGCTTTGTGACAGAATTCAGATGCTCTTTGGAAACTTTAGTTAGTTAATATCAGCACTCTGCTTTTTGGGGGGGACATTTCCTATGTAATTAGACAGTCAATCTTTTCTCAAATGACATGACCTATGATTCCAGAGAAAGAAACTACAGTAACAGGCTGCCAATAATTTTGTTTGCCCTACTGGAAAAGGAATAGACATAGCAAGCAACACCTGTATCGCTCCTGCATGCTGCCTGTGAAAACACAGCCGGGAATCTCTCTGGGATAAGGAACAGGAAAGGGCAGTGCAGAAGGCCATGAAGGTGCTTCTTTCCCAGCTCCACAACAGAAACAGCCCAGGAAAGGGGCTGCACTTACCCCAGGAATGGAGAAACCAGCTGCACGAGCTCAGCCCGGGAGATCACCTCCTGGTTGAAAATAACCAGGCAGCGCAGGAAGTTCTCGTACGCTTCTGTGCTACGCAGAGCTTTGCGGACCTGAGGGAGGGGACAAGAGGAAAAGAGGAGCTGTCAAGGTAAGACTAAGCAGGGGGAGGTCCAGGAGACCTGGATTTGATGCTGTTTCCCACCGAGGCACACGAATATTTAAGTGAGTTGAACAGAGAGAACGTGCCCTGTACACAGGGCCAGACAAACTGGTACTGACAGGGGCCATCCCCACGCTGGGATCCCCTGCAATGTCAGCACTGGGGCATTACTCTAAGAAAGGAGCTGCAAGTGATGAACCAAATCCTTCAAAGAACTCTGTAACAGCTGGATTACAAAACACTGGAACCATGGACAACACCAGTTGTAACTACAGCACCACAAACCCAACCAGGCTGCTTTTAAACTTCAGAGAGTATTTCAAGCAGGGAGTGGGGGGTATGAGACCCATGCCCTGGGTAACACCTCTCCAGCCTCTGCCTGCTTCCAGCTTGGATTATCATAGACAATCCTCCTTCTGCAGCCCAAATCTTCACAGAACGAGGAAGCCAAACTATTCATCCCACCACCGCTCCCTTTCCCACAAGAACAGCTGGATCTACACATCAGACTGAGATCTAGCATTGTTAAGTTATTCATCATTGTGGTTATAATTCCACAGCAGGGATTTCTAGGTTTACTTGTGTTAACACCTACACATCCTCCGAGCAATAAATTGGTTCCCAGTTACCATTGGCTGGTTCCTATCACGCTGCAGAATTCACCAGATCAGCAGGGAGCAACCAAGACTGTCATCAGTGCAGGAATATTGCTTAAAAGGATGGTTTTAAGTTCGTTCCATACTCCCCTCTGAGCTATAAGGCAATGTATGGACATCTCAGAGAAGACACCGAAGTGCCACTTGGAAACATCCCATATCTCCTTCACTTGATCTGTGTGCTAAACCAGCAACAGGTAACAACTGTGCAATTAATTAGATTAATCTCTGAGGGGAAATTAAAACAAAACCAACCCCATGTAAATATGAATCAGGTGCTTTGTAAACTGAGCTCCCTCCCTGCAGCCAGCTGGCTGTAGATGGGTACAAGCTGTGCCGACACAGCACAACACGCCACGCACATCATCAGCTGTACCGGGATCTTATAAAGGGGAAAACAATTTGGAGTGTGGGTTACAGGAAAAAAATTCCCATTCCCTCCAATCAAATGCAGCAGCAGCAGGTGGAAAGCTGGAGAAGGAGCTTTGGGGAAAAGACACACGTAAAAAAATATCACCAATTTCTAAAAAATTCAATGGATCCAGCTTAGAGGTCGTAGGGTATATCTGAGGTCAAAAGCTGAGAAATGTTATCAGGGTGGTGTAAATCTCACACACTTCACTGTGATAGAAATCCAGATGTGTATACAGGAAGAACATACATCAAGGACGTGCAACATCTGCATCCTGCCTCTCACCTTCTCAAAGAAGAGAGATTCTGTCCCCACACCATGCTTGCTGGCTTCTGCCAAAGACTGGTCTTTCAAACCAAGCAGCTTTGGTTTCTTCTGTTATCAAAAAAAGAAAGGCAATTGAAAATAAAAGGGGTGCTCAGCAAGTTGAGATAATTTGATTATCTATCACACACAGGTGTCAGCTCCCTGACCCCACCCTGAGCTCGCCATTAAGGGAAAGGCGGCTTTTTTGGAAGGGTAATTCTATTAAAA